TTTTTTTTTTTTTTTTTCACTTTGTATGATAGGATAAAAGAATTTACACTTTATGATTTAGATTTTGTAATTGCAAAATTTTTTCAATGATCAAATTTACTTTATTAGTGAATATACCCGTAAAATGAAACCAAACATGCACTCATTGTAAATTAACATCAGATCATACAATTCATACCGAAACGAAATGCTACTTATTTTGTAAAGAGAAAAACCAGAGTCAATCAAAACCCACTTGAAAGAGAGAAAATACAGAAATTCTCAAATGGCCTTCATTTGAACTAAAGATCCAAGTTAAATTCTTAATTTAGTTTTGAGGTTTCATGATTGAAATTCAAAACATTCCAATCCAACATATATATTTTAGGGAAAAATTCTTAATTACGTGTTTCAAAAAATAAAAAAATTTGTGGGAAAAAAAATTCAAAAATCAAGTCAATTTTTGTGGCATCTGATAATTTTGTAATCTATAATTTAATTAAAATGGTCACGATCGCAACAACACATAGTTTATGGTTATAGTCACGTACTAGCACAAATCACACAATGTCATAAAGAAATAATTTGTAGAACACAATCACGAATCACCTATTTAGTCACAACTATTTAATGTCACAAATTATTTATTAGTAAAGTAATTATCCAATCAACTAGTCACAAACACTGCTCACCCCATCTCACCACACCTTACTCCACAATCTCCACTACCATCGACACCATCTCAAATTCATAACCACAACCACTACCTTCACAACCACCACCATAATTATTGCACTCCTCTCTCTGCCAAAGATATACTGCTACCCCTACAACACCTCACCTAAGGTTTTACACAGATCACGAGGATAACGATTCATTCCAATTTGATTTTGGTCCAATTAATGAAGACCTATGATTGCAGTAGTTGCGGAATGGGGTGGCAACATCGTGAGTATATGTCCACAATGATGAGTTTGATTGACTTGGATTCGCAAATCCCGAGGCTGAGAACTACGGTTTTGGGGCCCACGTAGTGTTGTGGGGCCAATTGAAGGTGAGATTGTGCTTGGGAGTGATTTCGTTAACGATAGGTGGTGGGTCTGGTTATTTAGGTGGTGGTTCGGGGTGGAGTGAGGGTAAAGACTCCAAATCATCCTTTGATTGAGAGAGGATTTGGTTTTAGTGGGGGTGGGGTGGACACACCTAATTCTTTACTAAAAAAATAAAATATTGATACCAGATTTTTGAAATTGAAAGTTAAAAAGTAAGGATTGAGATAATTTTCTCAATTTTTATTTACATGGTGCAGTTCATAGGCCCTAATTACATGTCACCAAAGGCTACAATAAAATATTTTTTACTTGAACATCAAAATATTGAAATTAATAGTGACCAAAACTCAAATAAACTATTTCTACAATTATATCAGTTAGGAAAATATTCAGTCGTGGAAGCACAAACGAACGAATTTTTAGAACATTAATCATTACAGAAGTTGAGGACCTATTTTTCTCGGAAAGACGTTATTTCACGGAGGCATAAGCCCAATCTAAGGCCCAATATCAAATCACAAGTCGGCCCACACCATCAAGATAGCCAAACTGATTTAATGCTACTGGTACCTACCTATGGCTATTATGAAGTAGCTAAATTCCATGTTGCAGGTTCGGACGAGAGGTCGAAGTTCATAAAAAAAGGAACCCAAAATGGGAAAACACCTGATCAATTTGTCCGGGAATTAAATTTTTTAACTTTATACATAGTTTTCAAATTTTCAATAAAAGCATATTGCTCAAATTTATAAATACAACAATTACTTTGATAAACAATTCTTACAATTAGATTAAACACGAACACCGACGTGGTGAAATTAGAGGATTGAAGGAGGCTTGAACTTAACGTATATAGATTGCAACTCTACGAAAAGCTTGTTTTGATTTTTCTTAATGTCAAAACCATGTAAATTACTATATATAATTCATAGGCTTTGGTGATTTGGTCTAATTTGATGTTCGTTGGGCTCAATTTACATTTGTTTAAGTAAAAAATAAAAATAAAAAATGGGTTGGACTTTGCTATGCTAATTTGAACACAGTTTTTAAGATAAATATGTACGCAGTTTGGCGTTTAAGCATGCATATACAGTCAACGAAATGGATTGACCCTATTATTACGAGCATACCCTATATGCAATGCTTTTTGAAAATACTGTGAAGATATGCACGCATTTTGGAATACTATAATTGGTTAGTGTTATTACTATACCAACTTCATAATTGTAGGCAGTCGGGCCTTTTGGAACGCTGGTTATAATTGGTTGGTGTCATCACTATACCAGCTTCATAATTGTAGGTAGTCGATCTAAACTCCTTGCTTGACCTAAAACTTTGCTCCATATTTGATATGAATTTTATAAATTATATTAAACCATGCATCTTCTTCATAAAATAATGTTGCGCGTGGATCCACAAATTTTCCTGCATTCTTAAAATAATCATTTTACAAAATATATTCTAAAAAATTTTATATGAAACATGCCAATAGTGTTTATGTTGGACAAAATAACAGTAAAGTGCAGAAAAACTTATCAACAGATCGAGTCTCGTGACAGCACGATATCCTAAAGTGAAATTGCCAATCGATAACTGCTGTGACCTCTGTGGACAATCACCTCTAGGATACAACGATCAAATAAACCAATTGTGTAGCAATCACAAAAGGTTTTCAGAACTCTCAAGTGTACTCCAAAAAAATGTAAAACTAAGAACAATATTTTTACTGTACTGTATAAAAATATATAATCTCGTTTTTCTTGTATTTTTCTAATACCCAAAAGTGTTTTTATATAGGCAGAAAGAGATGTAACTTCTTCCACCATGATCTAGTATTAAGTTGCAGATGTAATGGCCAATGGTAATGGGTATTAATACTGGGCAGTTAAAACTGTCATATTCTATTGGCTAGTTGACCCATTAAATAATTCCGAAAATGATTAAAAAAATAATTATTATTTTATTAGAATCAATAAAGTCCAAGAGTCAAGGCCCCAAGGCCCAATCAAAGACTTTTTAATATAGTGCGTGAGGCGTAGCTCGAACACCTGACCCCCCACAACAAATTCCACACTTTTCCCCAATTGGGCACTTCATTTTAATTAGTTATTTCTTTCACATATTATATTTATTGTATAAATATATAACAGTTTAGACGTGATTTTGATTCAATTTTATTCATTCTCCAAACTTGGTTTGTTGTGCCACTGCCACCTCAATTTTGTTAAACCCCTATTTGAATCTTATTCTCTAAAATCTCATTTTTCCTCGTAATTTTGGATCCATCCGTTCTTTTGTGAATAGTGCTCGGAAGACTGGATTGGAGTTCATTTTTTAGCTGCCTTATGAAATTGCTCATGATTAGTCACCCCTGATTCTGGAATGAGTTTGATCAACTCATTTCTAGAAATCTGCATAGGGATGTAGGTGCAGCTTGGAACAAATAACACTATTACAAAACATAGCCTAATTATGTTAACATTGCATGACGGGACACCTTTTGCCAATTTAAGAAAATATTTAAGATTCTAAAGTTGTGAAAGCTGACTCTTGAAATTACATGATGGATCAAATCCTCTACCTAGTGCCAGGCATTGCCATTCACATGGAAATACAAGTGGCTATTAATAGCGAGCCTTGCTATCTGTACAGGGAAAGAGCTGTCACGCCTTTTACAAGAAATATTTGGCAATTTTTGATTGGAAGTTGGCAAAAAAAAGAAAGAAAAAAAGTCACCATATAAGTGCTACCAGCACAATACCTATAGAAACCTTGACAGCTGTTTCCGTGTACAAGGGTAATAACAACGATGGGTCGTTTTCAAGGGACATATATCCTAAACACTATCACTTATTTAAAGGGACATATAACAACGATGGGTCGTTTTCTAATTTCTATACCGAGAAAGACAAGTGTTTGCAATAATCAAATTATTTTTCGGAATAATTACAATTAAGCAATAATGTGTCAATGAAGTGAGTAAAGCTGATAATATTTATATGATTCGCGAGTGTGACTTCTTTCAACTTGTTCATTCAGATCCCTCCAAGAATTTTAGATAAAATAGGAAATTTTTTCTATCCTCGATGGGTTCAATGACACTACCCGTCTATCCCAATAGTACATTAATGTCAAGTGCCCCCAGGGCACATCTCCAAGTGGTAAAAATGGAAGGTGGAAAAACTCCAACTTTGTTTGAGGCTGCCGCGTCAAAAGTTCGAATCTTGAAATATAGATTTGGCCTTGGGTAAGTACAAGTGTACAAATAGTCTTCCACCCTATACCCTTGGAAGCATAACTTGCGATTTACCTCATTCATTAAGGTCCAGGACATGGTAGGTGGGGATCGTCAAGAAGCGGCTCATCCTTTTTTTTTACATTAATGCCAATTTGAGAGACCTTTTTTTTCTTTGGTTCACATGACCCATTCTCCGTACTTTCCCGTGACAATACAATGTCCA